ACCACATGCTTATTTCACAGTGGCTCAAATTAATTACATGTGAACACTTCAATCAAGAAAACTACTCTAAAATTTTGTATCATTTAATGACAGTAGCACAGAATCATACTGCAAGTAGAATTGGTTGAAAACCAAAATGATTTGCTAGATGAAAAAGTCACATTGAAATATTTAAATAATGTATTCTTCTCAAATGTTATCAATCAAAAAGTCCTTTAAGAAACCTGAAGCCCCACATGACATTGAGTGCAAGCAATATTGGAGAACATTGTCAGGTGCACATACAGCTTCAGGGGCCTGAAAAGCAGACTGGGATTCAAAGGAAACAAGATTCTCATGTACCTCAACACCCAGAATTCACCAAATAAACAAACGAACAACCTCCCACACACACACTTAGAATATCTGTTTTCAGAGAAACAAGCCTCAACATAAAGAAGCAGCAAGATTCAGTGATTGAAAACCAGAGTTTGACCTCACTCCTTCTGCTTTCTGTTAATTAAATTGCCCTAAGGAAGTCTGTGTACTTGTGAACGTTTCTTACTTCTCTCTGACTTTGCAACTTTCTCTTATGCCTGTGGGGACATGAATTTGATAACATGCAGACTAATTAACCTGCAACAAATGCTCCAGCAATGAACACTTCCCAAATGTCAAGTGTCATAAGACCTGCGGAAAGGCTTACTTTAACAATTTATTTGCAAAGGAAAGAGTGGAGACCAAAAGATAAGGCATGATATACAGGAGCTTACAAGGCACTCAAAGTACAGTAGTAGAAGCACAACCTCTGATTTTATTGCTATTCTCAGTGACATACAACCCACAATCCAAATTTTCCGAAACAAGGAGGACAACAACCCTCCTCTTGAATTTCCTATCACTGAAACGAGCAGATTTCAGATGTTCTCAGCTTCACCAGGCTGAACTGAAACAGAAGAGTCCCGTCCCTAATTATAACTTCATAAATCATTCATCCAAATTGTGTGAGGTTTTTTTGTAATTGAAGGTAGGATGTGCTATGCTAACTTACAAATCCCATCCATGACCTCCTGTGTTTTTAGATCTGTGCCAGAGACGGAGCTGGAAAACAAGTGCCTTGGTGTTATAAGACACAGCAAGAATTTGTGAAATACACTAGAAAGCATTGCAGAGTGGCAGCCATGCACAGGAAATTTGATATGTAGCAGATTTGAAACAGTTATAAGGAACAACTTCCTTTATGATGACGTCTAGGAAGTCATTTATCATCTCACAGAGGAATCTGGCACCTTAAAGTGTTTATCTAAGGAAAGGAAATGAACCCCTGTCATCTAATAGAAACAGTATTTGATCCATCTCACAAAGCAGTACACTGGTCAAAGGAATTTTAAATAATCCTCAACTCCAGCATTTGGCTATACCTGCTTCTTGTCTCCAGGAAGCTCTCAGTCCATTACTTTCCTGGTGTTTTCCTTTCTTTTCAATCCTTTCCTTATTTAGACAATCCCTGGGTTTGAAGATTATCCAAGATTTATTCCTTTTCAGATTAAATTTACAAATACTTCCAGCTACACTGAATAAAATAACTAGTGTACTTTAAACATACCAAAATCTTCGTTTCCAGGAAGCAAACTAAGCTGGATCCACTAAATCTTCTTGAAGTCTGTATTGCAGACTAGAATGCAAAGCAGCCATGGGGACTATCATATTTAGTGACTAATTGGAAGACCATTAAAGTCTTCCCCCAGTCTTCAACAGGATTTGATTAAGACCTTATCATTGTTCTCATTTTATGCCTCCCAATTGCAAGCTTGCAAAGACAAATTTCATTCCAGGCTCCATTGCAGATCACTTACCAGTCTCGGAAGTAGCAGAAAATGGAGCAGTGTGAAAAGTGTGTCAGCTCAGCTAACTCATAACCCTAACCATTTATGCCAATCCATTTCCTGGCAGGTGATTTGGAGTGCAAGGGAATGCAATTGACTGTGAATTCCTAAAACAATTTAGCCCTGATGCTCTCCTTTCCATGTTCCCTGAGAGCAGACCTGTACAACAGATCAAGCACCGAATCAGCCCTAAGTGAGCAAGTACCTGTCACCTGCCTCTGTGTCTGCAGGTGCAGGCAATGCCCACAGCTGCTTCCAAAAGGCTTGCCCAAGGAGGCTGTGAAACCAGCAACCTGCTGGCCACAGGGCTACATGGAAATGGCCAAGTAGTCACAGCTTGCTTAGGGTATACGGCATATTTCACATTATTGAAAGTGTTTTTCAAACCTAAAGAAAATGAAAGGATGATTGCTCTGTACAAAGTGAGAGGGCCAGGGTGCTAATCCCTTGGCTATGATTTACTCTTCAGTCCACATGCAGGGCTTGCTACAGCTTGATAACTTGCTCGATAGCTTACTAAAGACTCATGATGACTCCACTTGGCATTTGCATTTGAGTGGTGTTACCAGTAAAAGCTTCTTTAGAAGTATTTTATAGAGGAATATTTTTTAAGTGAGCATGAAATGGAGAAACCTGGAGGAAGGGCATGCTGACAAAAGGGAAAAGAGAATGGGAACATTTGTGATGGGAATTTTAACATGGAGCAAAAATAGCAAGAAAACTCATGAGAAATGAGAGACAGAATCATGAAATAGTAGATTTATTGGTCCTTTGAGTTGGAGACAAAAAATCAAAACTGATTTGTAAGGGCTGAGAAATCAGAGGAGAATTCGAATAAAAAACTGAAAATGGCAAGAAACTAGAATGATTCTTATCATAGTATTAGGGATGGATGAGAAAGTGAATAGGAACAAAACCTGGGAAAAGATAGATCTGCATGGTGAATTTCACCAGTAAAGTTGCAGGGGACTGAATAGGAACAAAACCTGGGAAAAGATAGATCTGCATGGTGAATTTCACCAGTAAAGTTGCAGGGGACAGGCAGGCATTTCACATGTCATCTACTGAGTCTCAATGCTGACAGTTTTGATACGGAAAAGGAGCAGCCTAAAAACCACCAGGCCTGCAGTCCTGGGCTTCCAGACCACGAGGGTAAAGCTAAAGGAAAGTGTGAAGATTGGCATCTCGTAGAATCATTCCATTTTTTACAGGTTAACTTTCATGTGTCAGCTAGAAGGCTCTAGCAAGGATAACAGATGAAGTTAAAAAAAGAGGTGACAGAGTGCCCACTCCTCATGCCTGGTGGCTCAAGGAGACCAGTACTGAACGATGTACTGACTCCCTGAAAACAGAGCAACGGGGGAAAAAAAAAAAAGGAAGAAACGTGGGCATTGTCCTGGGTAACAGAGAACAGGAAAAATACGTGTCATAGAGAAACCAGTAAATATGACCCTCTACTTTGTGAGGAAAACAAACATCGTGGAAAGAAATAGTTTTAACCAGAACTTATTGTCAGACACCAACTTTGGGCTTCATGGAGACGGCTAAGTGCTCAAAACTCACTTAGAGATTCTTGCAGGAGAAGTCTTGCAGTCATCAGAGCAACTGATAACCGAAAGAGGGTGAATTTGTAGTTTTAGGACAATACCGACAGCTTTTTCAAGTTTCAAGTAGTGGAAGGAGGAAATTAGGGAACAGACAAATGCAAGAGAGATGCAGTCATTTTTCATTAATAGTAACGTCCAAAATACATAAGGACTCAGTCAGGTAGTGAGGATGAACTCTAGACCCTCCAAGTTTCCTTTCCTACAGCCACTACGTACAACAAGAGTTTCTGTAAAACACACACACACGCACACAAAGACACATCTGCCTTAGCTTTGGTCGTCATCTTTCTCTTCCCCTGGACTTTAAGTCTCTGCTTCCATAGTGCCTTGCAGCTCATCTCTACTGCCATGGGACAAGGCTTTGAAATTTGCAGGCTTTAAGAATCTGCTTAGTTCAAAGCCTGCAGCAACATAAAACTCCCAGCTAGAGCTGGAAACCGCCCCCCCCCCCCCCCCCCCCCCCATCAGTTTGAACTGGGCACACTGGGCTGCCCTGCCAGCTCTGCACCTTCAGACCCCTCATCATCCTCCCCGCAGCACGGAGGGGCACTGGGATGTCCTCGGGTGCTCTACTCTCCCTGCTTGCCACCTCCTTGGCATCCTTCAGCTGGACACGTCCCACATGAGCCCTGCCAGGGTCAGTCCCAACAGGGCCAACTAAGATCCAAGGGGCCTGGTCAGGAGATGCTATTTTTCATATTTATGTCTCTTAATCTGCATAGGGCACCACCTATGACCAGGAGGGGACAAATCCGGTCAAACTCCTCCCTGGCGCAACCTGTTCATTTCTCTACATTTCAGTACATTTACCCAGGGAGCTCATTTGGCTGAATTTCTCCTACGGCCTCTCATCAGCTTGGCTCTCAACAGTGGAGCAGGGAGAGCTCTTACCAAGGCATACAGAAAGGCCAAGCAGGAAAAGGTTGCCGAGTCCAGCAAGGCTTGTTTGTTTATCTCTCCCCCATGTTCCTGCTGTGCTACTAAATCCTTAAATCCACTCTCTCAATTAAAAAAAAAAAAAAAAAGTTTGTCTTCCCACAAGTAATCACACTCTTTTTTCTTTCATGACCTTACTTGGAATATTACTCTCATGTTTACTACTTCGGTAAAATCTCCAAGTTTGAATTCAAGTTTGAATTCCCAGGCTAGTCTTATTTTTCCACCTTCACTTTCCTGGTGCCATTCTCAGCATAGTTTCCTGTTCACTTTTATGACCATCCTTGACACATTTTCAGCACTTGTAGAACTGCACCTCTCTCTCAATGAATTAGCTTGACTTCTTCAAATAAACCATCCAATTCCTTTCCCTTCTCCATTTCTGTCCTCTCCCTTCAACAGATCATGGCACTTGTTTTAGAGAGATTTTGCTGATTTGAAGCAAGCAAGAACTCCCAACAAAAGTTAACTCTTACTTAGCTATGTCAAAGAGGCACTATGGCCATCCCGCATATTTCTTGACACCTATGAGTATGGAAAACCCTAAATAAACACATAGAAACCAAAATAAATTAATTTTAAAACAACTTACCTCGCATCCAGCCTGCTGGACTGTCCTAGCTGACATGTGGGGGCCTCTCATCAGAAGGAGGCCAGGGAAGGAACCCAACAAAAAGGAGCCACTTGCCTGCAGCAGCAAGGAGAAAGGGGGGAATGCAGGAATCAGCCCTGAAATGCACTCTGCTCAGCTGCAGGCCATTGCCTCGTTTGCCTCCTCTGATCCCAGCATGGCTGAAGAGGCTGAATCCATCAAAATCAATGTAGGACTGCTTGTAGTCCTGGAGTGAGTGTCACCAAAGAAAGACCTTTGTTAAGCTGAACAATCTGTCACGGTCCAAATGTGAGACAACAGGGCATGGTTGAGTTCTTGTTCCCCTTTCCAGTGAGCAGCTGTCAGGGTGTGCAACAGCATGTACCTCCCAGAGCTAGGCACAGCAAGCAAGTTGCATCTTCATTGTTATAGAGCTCACAGAGATAACCAGCATTCACAGCCAATGTTTTAAGCATCTGTGTCATTTGAACAGAGCCAGTAAATAAAATCACTTGCTCTCAGTTCAGTGTGTCATACTTTCAATACATTCGTCCAAAAATTTAAAATTCTTTAAAATGTGGCATCAGTCATCACCATTTCAATGCTACTAGTCTTAGCATCAGCTTTGGTTGCTGGCAGTTCTCCCATTTCTATCATTTCCACTGTACTCATCATTTGGCGCTCAAGAGTAAGAGGTTAGCAAATTTCTAAAAATATCAGGAAGGATGCCATTAATTTCGGACGCTGCACACTCTGTTCAGACATTTGCTCACCTACGAATATTCAATCTTTCCACACCACCATCCGCTTCACCAAGTTGGGGAGAAAGTCTCATGCCCAGGTCCAGGAACCCTTCACACACTTTCTGCTCTGCAATATCAAAAAGTAAATACTAGCAAGATAAACTTGTCAGTGCCTGGTAATGCCCAAGGAAACTATTTTCCTTAATGTTTTGGTTCTTCATCTACTTTCTGCCTACTCCATATCTATTAATAGGTTTAGTGTCATTTGAGCCAGGAACTACAGCTTCATGTTCAAGGTTTATTTCTGCTCTTCTAATCAACTGGTAATGGACTATGTTGTAACATTCCTCTGTATCAGAAAATACTCAATGTTTGCTATTATTACAGAGCTCGAAGATGTGCTAACTACTTCAGAAAATAGCTAACAAACTTATTGCCAGAGAACATACAATCTGCCATCACCAGACTAAAAGATATGTAATAGCACAGAGTAGGCGAGCAATGGAAAAGGGACAGGCTGGTGAAAGGTAGACAAAGGGCAAAGACAGCAGTGGGATAATGTGGTTTCTAAGCAAGGGCACGATCCCATGTCACTAACGCTATGTGGGTAAGCAATTAGACACATCCATTTATTAGCAACCTATTTTAAAACACATATTTCTGCGTATTTGCCTGTATCCCTGACATTTCTCATGCTTTTGTCAAGTCAGAAAATAACTCTTCGGAGTTTCAAAAGTGGCACCTGCTTGGTCCAAAATGAGTTTTCCAAATGTGAAGGATGAGGCATGAGAAAGAGCAGAGCTGCTCACAAATGAAGCAGAGGAGACCTGTATCACGGATAGCCATGGTGGGTTAGGGGGGTCAATGGAAACGATAGATATTGTGTCCAGGCATCATTATTTGGAGGGCAGAGTTTGAGATAACACAGATTTCTATGTGTCTCAAATATTTTGGAATCTGAAAACACTTTCTAGGCACATTTACATACACCTAATTGTCATTAATTATGACTATTTCCCATTATAGAGCAAATCTGTGGCACTTCTAAGAACAGGACTCTCTTCCACTGAATACCTGACTGTAGCCAGTTGCTAAGCACACTATCTAAGACCAACAGAATGAGTTTTAGTAGCAGCTGGGATTTCCTCATATTGTTTTATTCTTGTTTACAGAAGTCCATTTGAAAGAATTTTAAATAAATCTCTTCAGTTCAATAAACTAGGTCCTCCTGCACGCAGTCTGATTGCTCCTGTGTCATGCCGTGCTATCGCTGCTGCTGATTCACATCAAGTGAGGAGCACATGACCTTGGCAGAAGGGCCAAGGCAGCAGTGCTGCAAGATCTGGAGGAGCATGACTCCTTCGTTTCCTCACCCTGAGAAACGGTTGGGAATAACTATCCACCACCTACTCAGCAAGGCCTCAGTCCTCTCACAACCCCTCTAATCTGCAGCATATTTAAAGATCAGACCACCTTCAAAGAATCACTCGCCTTTATCTCTTCTAGGCTCTGTTCACACTGTCCTGGCCAAACTATTTTACTGCATTTTATCTGCACTCCCTGTGACTCATCCTGAATGTGGACACCCCCTCCTACTGCCCATCATCTGTCATTTTTCTAGTTCAGCTCTCTTTCTGTTGCTATTACTGTAATTGCAATGGCATTTGCTCCAGTTAAAGATGAAATACAGTTTCCATTTTAGCTCTCAGCTTCCCACAATATCCTCCAGTTCTCACAATTCCTTATGTATGTTTTGTTGCGAATTTTTACATCTGGCATTAATTCAAAACAGTGTGAACCAAGTTATTCAAGAAGAAGATCTGTGGTCTGGCAGCTGGAAAAGGGGTAACCCAGAAGATTATGAACCTGTGATGTTCATAGGAAAATGTGCAAAATCGTGTTCTAAAAAGGGACCAACTTCTTAATCATTTTCACTTTCTAAAAGTTAATTTGTGTGAGTTTTTCTCAGATGTATGATTATTTCTCAGTAGCTGTTTTTATTTTTACCTGCAGAACACTTCATAGACCTGTTTGCTAAGGATTTACATGGAGTATCCAGATTTGCACATTAAAGACTGTACAAGTCAGTGAATCGTGGCCTGCATCAGGATACCTGATGCTCCCCTCACCCTGAGGCCATTCACAAACACTTTGGGGGAGAAAGGTACCTTGATGGGAAGGTCACAGCAGGGTCTTAGGAGCGAGAAACATCCCAAATTGCAATTTCTTGGCCACATCCCAATTGCAATTGCTTGCCAATGTAGATTGGAATTGATTTTTTTCCTGTCCAGGGGGCTAAATCAGTTCTAAGTCAGTTTTGTGAAATAGGATTTTATGTACCCAGAGCACTGCAAAAATTATCTGCCCAGTAGGAAAAAAATACCACTAATGAAGAAAATAAGCATTTTGCCATACTTGTAACACTAAGGTGAGTGAACCTACATGATGTCTTTCTACTCTTGGAAGGAGAATGGGTGAATTCTTCGGTTGAAGATCAAATTTGTAAAATCTTCTTGCGAAGAGGAAAATGAGACAAACAGACTCCCATTCCTTCCTGACTAGGATCTGTTTAAAATCTAAGAACTGCATTTTCTACGTTCACAAGATAGAAACATTCACTTGCCATCTACTGTTTGTCAGAAAAAATTAAGTGAATTGAGGTCAAGATTCAGTAAAGTTTGTAAAATCTTATTTAATTCCTTATTCATCAAGCTTCCTTCAGTCCCTTGCTAACTCTTTTTGCCCTCAGTTCACACACACGTAAGACTTGTGTTGAATCTTTCTGAGAAAATTGCACCAAGATAAACAAAGTCCAGAACAACTTAGAAGAGACAATTTGCATTAATGAGTTTCCCTATTCTCTTTCCACATTGCAATAGCATCTGAAGTAATGTTTTTGAAGTACTTTTTTCCATTGCAAATCAAATCCACAAAAAAAACAAAAGGCAAAATATCAAATAAAACAAAACTTGAGAAGGGAAGGCAAGGCAATATAAGGGCTTTTACTTCTCTGTTTCAAATAAGAAGATTCCACATGCTATAATGAATTAAAAGAATACTGCCAAGAGGTGTCAAGCCCCATCTACTGGCTATTAAAATGAACTTGTAACTCAGCATGCAGAGTTTTAGGTCTATCTACATAAAACAAGTGTGTAGACCCATTGTCTTTGCAGAATCTCAGTTCATTGCCATTATGTTGCATGTTAATTCCTCTCATTTAAAAATCTGGTGCATTTTCAAGCTACTGTATCTATAGATATAGTATAGAAACCTACTGAATAGGTAGCAGAAATCTCCTATCAATGACTGTAATGTAATAAACAACAGCAGCGCTGAGGAAATGTGGCCTGTATAAATAAATAAAGGAGATGTCTCACCCTCTGGCCAAGCAGGCAAAGGCATCTGTTTTCCACTGGTATCCTTTGTCTCAAGACATAAATTTTAAAATGACCTTGCGTATGCACTCACCTTATTTTTAAATACAAAATCTCATCAAGGAATAGAGATAAACTCAATAACAATTTTGAAGAAAGGTAAGGTCTATTTGTGCCTTCATTTCTTATGTCAAGTGGAACTTCTGATGAATTAAAAATAACAACACAACAAACTAATATGACAAAATAAAATTATTCAATTAAAGAAAAGGCCAATGAAGACTATGCAATAGTTTTCATGCAAATTCAGATGGCCTTCACGATACTAAGGATGTGTAAGGCTTACAGTGCATTACTACCTGAATGGTGTAAAATAAATATCACAGATTTTCAATCTCATGGTGCCAAAAAAAAAAAAAAAAAAAAAAAAAGGAACGGAAGAAAAGAAAAAAGAAAGGGAGAGAGCAGGAGCAGCCCTGCCAGGAATTTGGTGTTCAGAAAACTCAACAATCAGAAAAGGATGTGATTAGTGTTAATAGAACATAACATCCCATCCGTTTTGTGTTTATTTACTTTTGAGGGAACATTCTTGCCTTAAATTGCATCCTGTTTCAAAAAAAAAAAAAAAAAAAAAAAAAAAAAAAAAAAAAAAAGAAAGCTGCTGAAGTCCCCTGTTTGCTAAGATGAGGAAAGTAGGTCTGCAGCGCCACATCAATCTGCATCACGTGTCAAGCCCGCGAGCACACAGGCTCCGGCGGCCGCCAGGACCTCGCTCCGCTGGGCCTGTCCCAAGGGCTGGTCTGGGCTGCCTCCATCCTGGGGCTCTGCAAGCCTCTCCTGGGCAAAGCCTGAGGGCAGAGGCCCTTCTCGGGCCAACCCCGCAACCTGTTGCACCTTGGCCATTCTCTTCTCCTCCTGACCTTCTCCTCCCGTAGCTTTTAGGATTCTGCCCTCTCCTGG